CCCACTCCTGGTTGGCTCCACCCAGGGGTGGGTTGCTAATCCCGTTCCAACCAGTTCGGTTGGAATGGGGCCGGCGGTGTCCTCGTGCACGCGCGCAGTTCATGCATGCGTCTTAGTGCCTGCACGATGCTCCAGCTGCTCACAGAGAATCGCGCAGGTGCTGTATGTGCCATCCAGCTGCTTGCGGAGAATCGCGCAGGCGCTGTATGTGCCATGCGCCTGCGTGGAAGCGCAGAAGCCTTCAAAGATCGGTAAGGAGTGCGGGGAGGCGGGTGGGCCATTCGCCGTTCCCGGAAGTTACTTACTTCCGGGTTCGCCAACCAACTGGTTTGCGGGGACCGCCGCGAACCGGTTGAAACCCACCCCTGGTCCACCTGGAAAATAACCTTCTCATACTAAAAGTTAGCAGTCAAGGAGCTAATGTCATACGTTTTTCTTTTCTCTATTTCTTCCCCCCCCCCCCATACACATACGGACTTCAAAATTGTATAAATTATAGTGTAATGCATTTTTTTTATATGTTTAACAGGCTGCTTCTCTAGCCTTATTACATTATCCCGTTCTTAATGCTTCCGTGGATGAAAACTGCCAAAACATCACATACAAGGTTTGTATATGATTTAAAAAGTAGTTTCTTAATACCTCCTCAATCGGTCCAGCTTTGTTTAATTTTCAGTAAAGGTACATTTCAATGTATCCTGCAGATAGAAAATAAAACACTGAAAGATTCCAGGTCTTTTTTTCTGCAGCCTCATTGCTAGGAGTATGTCTCTATTTTAATACTCAACGAAAGCTTATCCTTCCGGCTGGATTCTCAGAAAGAGACGAGGCACTGCGTGGATTCAATATGAGAACAGTTGTCTGACTTTAATTTTGCACGAGTCTGCCACTTAATTGTTCTGGCCTTATTTCCTTTCCGGAGGGGGTGGGTGGGGGTGGTATTTGAAAGCCTCTTGGAGCCTCTGATTCAAGAGGACATCGGGGAAATGTTGACTAAAATAATTTATCTTACAAGGAATATACTCTTAATGGAAATGTGACCTTTCTATTGTGCTACTTATATCTAGTAATAACCTTTGGTATAATTATCAAGACGGTGCAAGTCTAAAGGAAAAAAGCTGATTTGGGGGTTCCACCACAAAACCGCGGTCGACTAAAGCGCGCTCGACGAAACCACGTACCTGACGTCATCACAGCGCGACGAAAAAAGCACACTGTGAGCGCTAAAGCTAAAATTACCCCCTAAACCTAAACCTAACCCCCCAAAACCTAACCCTAAACCTAACGCTTAACCTAACCCTAAACCTAACCCTTAACCTAACGCTAAACCTAACGCTAACCCTTAACCTAACCCTAACGCTTAACCTAACCCTAAACCTAACCCTTAACCTAACCCTAAACCTAACCCTAACGCTTAACCTAACCCTAAACCTAACCCTAACGCTTAACCTAACCCTAAACCTAACCCTTAACCTAACCCTAAACCTAACCCTAACGCTTAACCTAACCCTAAACCTAAACCTAACCCTTAACCTAACCCTAAACCTAACCCTTACCTTAACGTGAATCGGCTTGCTTTCAAAGCGCTTTTTTTTCTCCGCGGTCGCTGTTGTCGCGCTGCTGATGACGTCAGGTACACGCTTTAATCGGGCGCGCTTTAGTGGACCGCGGTTTTGTCGTGCCACGGTTCTGGGAGCCCATGGGGGTATGCGTGTAAGCCCTAGTGGCCCCTTTTTAAATCAAACACATCTTTCTTGGAGTCACTTTACAGGTGCAGAGGGCAGCAGGGTAATCTTGAGAAAAGTCACAGCTTCTTGATGGAGTTGCTGACAGGTAGTTGCGAGCACTCCAATATTTTTGAAATCACTTTTTTTTTCTGTTAAGTTTGTAAGTAAGTTTGTAAGTTTAATTTTATTTATAGGCTGCCCAATCCCGAAGGACTCTGGGCAGCTTACAGAAGGGGAAAGAAAGAAAATAAAAAATAAAAATAAAAAGACAAGTTAAAACAACACAAATACATTCATTTCAGTCGGGGCTGGAACTCAACAATGAGGTCAACAGCCCCAGGCCTGCCAGAAAAGCCAGGTCTTGACAGCTTAAAATCTCGATTGTCTCACAGATAATCCTTCACTTATGAACAGTCACTTAGCAAACATTCAAAGTTATGTCGGCTCTGCCTTGGAGCTACTTATGACCTAGATTCAAAGTTGGGATGGTTGCCCATCCCGCCACCTCCATGGTCACTTGACCACTTCCAGGCCGCCACAATATAGTCATATTTACAGCTGTTTATACATTTACAGCTAAGGGATATTCACAGCTGAGGGACGTGGTGGCTCGGTGGCTAAGAGGCTGAGTTTGTCTATCAGAAAGGTTCAACAGTTTCGCGGTTCGAAGCTGTAGCGCCGCATAACGGAGTGAGCTCCCGTTACTTGTCCCAGCTTTTGCCAACCTAGCGGTTTGAAAGCACGTAAAAATGCAAGTAGAAAAATAGGAAGCACCTTTGGTGGGAAGGTAACAGCGTTCCGCGCACCTTTGGCATTTAGTCATGCTCGCCACATGACCACGGAGACATCTTCACAGCTGAGGGACGTGGTGGAGAAGGCTCTCCCGGGCTCTCCCGGGGGAGAGCCTTCTCTGTTGCAGCTCCGGCCCTCTGGAATGAGCTCCCTGTTGAGATCCGGACCCATACTACCTTCCCGGCCTTCCGCAAAGCCACCAAGTCCTGGCTGTTCCAGCAGGCTGGTGGGGGGGGCTGAGAAGCATTTACCTCCACGGAAATTGTGAATGTTGGTTTTGTTTTTAATATGTTGTCTTTGTCTCGTTTTCCCCCTTTCCCTTGTCTTTTGTGAGCCGCCCGGAGTCCTCCGGGAGTGGGCGGCATACAAGACAAATAAATAATAAATAAATAAATCTTCAGACAGAGCTGACTCTTCGGCTTTGAAATGAAGATGAGCACCACCCCCTAGAGTCGGGAATGACTAGCACATATGTGCGAGGGGAATCTTTACCTTTATCTTTACATCTGTTTGCAGGTTCCCATAGTCTTGAGAATACTGTAAAACTGTAATTTGGCATTTTCAGCAATACCATACCCATAACAAACAATTGGTCCATTGAACAACTGCAGCATTCTCTTAATGACCACTGCAAAAAAAGGTTTTTTTTTCCTGATAGCCTATTTTACGACCATCACGACGTATGTTAGATACAGGTTGTAAGTTTTATAACTTATAAAAGAATAATGGAAGAGTGATTAAATGAGAAATATTTTATTTTGCCAAGAATGACGAGAGCTCCTTCTATACAAACCAATGCAATACGTTTCCATGCATTTCTAGGCTTCTCACAATATTGGAATTGCCATGGACACAGGACAAGGCTTGCTCGTCCCTAATGTGAAAAATGTCCAGGCTTGTAGTGTGTTTGAAGTTGCTTCAGAACTAAATCGCCTTCAAAAATTGGGCTCAGCTAACCAGCTGGGAACAAATGACCTCACAGGAGGAACATTCACACTTTCCAACATTGGCACAGTAAGTTAAACAGCATGTAACACTGAACTGATAAACTGTTTGGAATATCATGGGGGCATAAACTCTATCAAAGGCGAGGGGGCAGTGATGGGATTCAAATTTTTTTTTAGTACCAGTTCTGTGGGCGTGGTGTGGCTTGGTGGACATGGCTTGGGCATGGGGAGGGGAAGGATACTGTAAAATCTCCATTTCCTCCCCCCCTCCAGGGAAAGGATACTGCAAAATCCACATTCCCTCCCAATCAGCTGGGACTTGGGAGGCAGAAAATAGATGGGGGCAGAGCCAGTCAGAGGTGGCATTTACCAGTTCTCCGAACTACTCAAAATTTCCACTACTGGTTCTCCAGAACTGGTCAGAACCTGCTGAATGCTACCTCTGGGTGTGGGCGGGGAATGGGGGGGGGGGATTGAAGTAATTTAGGAGAATCAAAGGATAAAGTCATTGCTTCTATGAGAAGGTATCTACTGGGCTTCCTTTAATGCTTGAGTGTCTATAGAATGGATTCAAAGACAAGAATAGCAATAGCAATAGCAGTTAGACTTATATACCGCTTCATAGGGCTTTCAGCCCACTCTAAGCGATTTACAGAGTCAGCATATCGCCCCCCCACAGTCCAGGTCCTCATTTCACCCACCTCGGAAGGATGGAAGGCTGAGTCAACCCTGAGCCGGTGAGATTTGAACCGCCGAACTGCAGATAACAGTCAGCTGAAGTGGCTGCAGTACAACACTCTAACCACTGCGCCACCTCGGCCCTAAGAAGTGGGGTCTCTTGTACCCCAAGTGTCATGTCACTTATTTCCCCAATGATATTTAAACAAAATACATTTTCCACCTAGAATGAACATCAGCTATATTGACTAGAGTTTCTGGGAATTATAATTTGTCTGGAATGTTCCAGATTGAAAAAAGCTGCTTTAAAACCTGCCTAAAAGAGACATTACTAAAAGCGTACTGACTTTCAAAAGTGTTAACTCCCCTTTTTGCTTCCTAGATTGGGGGCACTTATGCAAAACCTGTGATCCTTCCTCCTGAAGTAGCTATTGGTGCTCTGGGAAAAATACAGGTATTTTCACTTTGAATTATGAAAGATCTCCCTAATAAATGTTTGTATTGGTTTTCTAACTTTATCGTAGTCTTATACAGTCTATAGGTTAAATCATGTTCATTAATACTTCACATGTAGTTTCAAGTTGTTCTTCGTTATAGTAACCTAACAAGTGATTATTAACAATAATAGCTTTTTCTTTTGATGTCTTATATTTGAGTATTGTCCTAAGGTTTAAATGTCCTCACAGAATACACATTTGAGACTTAGGGACCTAATCAAATTAGACTTATAGCCTAATTTAAATATTGGATTTTTTTTAATGTGTATTCTTAATTTGTGGGGATGTCAAATCCCAAAAATATTGCTCATATTAATATAAAATCTATTATTTTTTTTAAATGCAATAGGGGGGTGATGTCTTGGAAACTTATAGTTTAAGAGCCCCCCATTACTAATTACTTTCAGTTGACCAAATCTGGACTCCTAAATTATTTTCACATATTGTTGTAAGATCCATTATGCCTATTATGCTGTCAAAATGAGCTGTACATTTAATTGCTGTTAATGCTTGTTCATATGCTTTGAAATCTTGAGTAAATACCTTGTAATTATCTTATCAGTAAGGCTGCTCAGGTGTGGGAAATTCTCATGAATTAATCCACTGCTTTTCTTACATCATTTCTGCTTTGCTTTTTTATTTTTTTATTTTTAGGCCCTTCCTCGATTTAACAGTAAAGGTGTGGTATTTAAAGTACAAATAATGAATGTGAGCTGGTCAGCTGATCATAGAATCATTGACGGTGCAACCATGTCTCGATTCTCTAACTTGTGGAAATCTTACTTGGAGAATCCTGCTTCCATGCTGATGGATCTCAAGTAAAGAAGACAAACATCTGGATGGCTTATTTTAATTCCAAAAGTGCAATCAGGCTACTTAAGCTAGCAAGTGCCATTAAAACTGACTTCATATTTCAGAACTGCATTGCGTTTGCTGGAGCTTTCAGATCCTGGCTCTGTGTCTTGATTATCTGTTACATTTTTGTCTAGTTGAATTGCTTAGTGGTAAATTATTTGCCTAGAAGTTGTAATGGGTCATGGTATGACTCCTTCACAAGGTGGCGGAAACCTATGTTGGCAAAAGAGTGCTATATTCCATTTTTACACTATTATCAGATGGAGGCCGCTAATAATATTTATGGGACTCTAAAACTTCTTGCACCATTCACAAAATAAACTGCGACCTGATTAGAAATGAAAATCCCTGGATGAAAACAGTAACCGAATGTTAACTATTTTTTAAGCAATTAATTCACTACAGATGATTTTCAAATAAAATGTTTTAACGATTATTCTATTAAAGATGCAAAGGTTCCATTTTTTGATAGTGCTAACTGTCCTCTTTTTAAAATATTCTTTTCAAATATTCAAGTTTTGTAGCAGACATTCTTCATTACTGAAATGAATATGTACACTAGAAGAACGGCAAACTCTGGACCATGGATACTCTTCCCCCCCCCCCCAACTCCAATTTGGAGCTGGCTTTTACAGCATAGAAGTAACACTAGGCATATATAAGATCCAAGATTGTATTAAGCATTTCTGTAATGTCTGAAACGGCTCTCGGTTAATGTGGAGATCTTTGAAATGTCTAATAGTAGTTTGCAAACCATTGTTTTTCAAACTTGGCAACTTTTAAGACGTGTGGATTTCAATTCTTGAAGTCCGCACATCTTAAAGTTGCCAAGTTTGAATAACAAGGTTGTAAACTCCCATTTTCATAGACAAAAGACTTGCTATGGAGCCATAGATGGTTCCACCACAAAACCACGCTCGACTAAACCGCGCCCGACTAAACCGCGTCGCTGACGTCATCAACAGGGC